GCATCTATGTCGTATATCTGTACTTCTAGCACTGTCCCATAGTGTTTTACATGATACTATGAACTAAAGATAAACCCACGCGCACGCGATCAGTCGTGTGACGACAACTTGGCGACAAATGTCACCAGAAATGTTTTGTGTTGTATGGAGTTTTGTCAGATTTAAATTGTTTTATCGTTTATCTTGTACGTTGACAAATAAATGTGTACACTTTAAAATAAAATATATTTAGGAATATTAAATTAAACTTTTAATTATGGTATTCTGTGCAATGGTGGGTTGTTCCAGCAACAATACTAAAAAAAAGCAAAGATATTTCGGATTGTCGTTTCTTTAGATTTCCAAAAGAGAAACAAGTTCGCGAACAATGGGTCGTGAAGTGCTATCAGCAACATAAGTTTAATATAAACACTGCAAGAATAATATATGTTTGAACCATTTTGTGGAAAGCGATTTCTGTATGAAAGAAAAAATGTTGGGTTTGCCTCCGAATAAGTGGAAATTAAAACGTGATGCAATACCTTCCCGTTATTTAATGACATTACCAAGAGCGCAGACTTCACCTGAACAAAAACGATGTTTACGAGTAGAAAAAAGGCAGAATAGGGAGTTCTTGAAGTTGATGGGTCCATCACTCGATGTAGAAACACAATCGGAAGTACATATACAATGCGACAATGGCAGTGAAGGAGACAAAGAGAACATTCCTAAAATAAACAGAACTGTTTCCACTCAAACGTTAAGGTAGTAAATGGAATTATAAAATATTAAATGTATTTAAACAATTTTTCATTTTAGTGAAAATGATCCAGCTGAATAGATTAGAATTCTCGAAACTGAGAATAAACTTTTAAAACAGTTACTTCACAAAGAAAGGGAAGAAAAGAATAAAATTGAAAAAATATTTACAGAAGGGCAACTTCGTAAATTAAACTTGGCCAAGCAAGTAAAGTGGATAGTTAAATATATTGCTTCGGCTATTTCACTGCATGCAGCAGGTCCAAGGTCCTATCGTTTATCGAGAAAAAGAGGCTACCCTCTTCCTGCAGTTTCCACTTTCAGAAGATGGGCGAGCACAATACACATTCAACCAAATATTCATATTTCTAGGATTCTTCATAAATACTTATCAGTAGTTAATTTTATATGAGTAATAAGTATTATTTTAATTTTCAGGAATACTTAACACAGTGCTGACACTAATAAAAAACAATTCTCTCTCAGCGATGGAAAGAGTATGTGTATTACTTTTTGATGAAATGAAAATTCAAAATTCTTATGACTATAATAAAAAGAATGACACAACCTTAGGATCTAGCCTAGCTAGATGTGCAAGTGATCATGCCCCGTGGAATATGCGGAAACTGGAAAAAGCCGATATTCTACGATTATGATAAAAAAATTACACATAATCTTTTATTTGAAATTATTTCAGAATTAGAAAATATAGGCTATCCTGTTTATGCTATTAACTCTGATTTAGGAAGCAGCAATAGGGGACTGTTAAATATAACGGAAGAAACAACATGGTTTACAAATCCAATAAGTAAAAAAAGAGTGCATGTGTGAGATGTGTGTGTGAGATGCTCCAAATATGCTTAAACTTTTGAGGAACCCTTTTCTTGACCATGGATTTATCATAAATGAAAAGTTTATAACATCCAAGCCAGTTGTAGATTTACTCCACAATACACAAAATTTAGATTTGAATATTGCACATCAAATTAATGCTGATTTCTTTAAGGGCGCTCAACGACAAAAGGTTAAATTAGCTACCAAATTGTTTTCGCACACAGTATCGAAAGCAATTTCTAGGCTAGGATTATTGGGAATTTTTAAGAGTGAAAACAACTGGCTTGGATGTTGGGAGTTTTTTAAACTCACCAATGACTGGTTTGATGTATTTAATTCAAAAGTACCTCAAAGTGATTCACGAGATCGTTGCAAAGCGTATGGTTTAGCTTTAATTCAACAAAATAAAATTTTGGACAAAATGGAGAAAACCATGCGAAATCTTAGAAAAGTTGGTTCTAATACCTTGTTACCTTTTCAACGAGGTATAATAATTAGTATAAAGTCTTTGAAGGAACTATTCATCGATATGAAACACGATTTTGACATAAAATATTTATTAACATATCATTTGAATCAGGATCCTTTAGAAGGTCTTTTCTCCATCATACGAGCCATTGGAGGGTTAAATGATCATCCTACTGCTCTACAGTTCAAATACAGATTAAGAAATTATCTTATGGGGCGAAATGATGAGATTATTTCCAGTTCGGCCAACACTGCCAGGATGGACCATATTCCAAATATTGCTATTGCGAGTGTATCAGTCAAACGAGATATGTCAAACCTTGATGTATATGGAAACGATGTCGACGAGTTTGAAATTGTTAGTGCACAAATGTTTGAGGTCTTGAATTTATCTAATGATAATGAACATGCTGATCCGAAATGCGGCTGAATTTGAGGATAAATATATTGAACGTCATATTCAAGAAGTGGAATGGGATGGTTTAGAAAACTTGGCAGGGTTTATTGCTTTTAAATTAAAGAAAACCGAAACTCTGGGGTATATTCCAGACAGCCATGAAATGTCGTTTTCGTGGGTAAACCATCTTTCCGAAGGAGGTTTACTTAAACCCTATCCAGATTTTCTAAATAAATGTAATGAACTAGACCATATTTTTAACAATTTTAACAAAGGGTCATTAAAATTAACCAAGAATTATTTAAAATCGCTAGTAGATTTAGCTGTGTTAGTAAACGTAAGTTCAGATGTCAAACATATTTTTTTTAGGTGTAAATTATATTTTAAAATTAGAAAATTGAATAGGTATATCAAAGAAAATTCCAAAGTTAAGAAGAAGAAAATATTAAAAGTTGTAAAATAAATTGTTAAATAAACTTGTAAATTATTACAGTGTGCTTTATTTTATCAGTTGTATTAAATTTTTATTTTAATAAATCAATCCATTGTATATAAATTTCCATTTCCAAAAGGATTACTTTTATATATAACTTTATTATCTATTTAAATTCTATTAATTTACATTGCTAGGCTAACATATATGTATATATAATATATTTTTAAGTTTTAATTGCAGATATTTTACCTAACATCCCTAAATATTCTAAATATTTAAATAAAACCCTCTCTTTCCATATATGTTTTACCGACTGTGGATGATAAAAGGTTAGTGATAAAAGTGACTTTTATCACCAAGTGACGTTATGCGCATCGACTTACAAAATTCGATTGCGAAGTGGGTTTATCTTGGAAGTCTTAGTATCATGGTGTTTTACTATCAATTTTTCTAAGTGTTTTCATCTCTGCTTTTTCTAACATCCTTTTTGTCCTCTCTTGTCAGGTCTTGTTTCTGCCGCGTATGTCATTATTGGTCTGATGACTGTTTTGCAAATTCTGTCTTTCGATTCATTTTCGATATTTTTATTTCTCCATATCGTTTCACTTAGGCAGCCTGCGGCTCTGTTTGCTCTATTCACTTGATCTTCCACTTCGGTTTCGAGCTTTCCGTAGCTAGATTATTTGATGTCTAGATATTTAAACTCCATCACTTGTTCTATTATCTGACTTTCTAGCTCCAATTTACATCTTAGTAAATTTGCTGTTGTAACCATGCATTTTGTCTGTGTTGGGGAAATTAACGTGTTAAAATACGTTGTTAATCATCTTCATCCATAATCAGGTTGAACAATAGAGGACTCAAGGAATCTCCCTGTCTTATCCCATTGCCAGCTTCAATAGGGTCGGTTAGTTCTTCTTCAACTTTTATTTTTATTGTGTTGCTTTGGTAGATATTTTCAATCGTTTTAATTATTTATAGAGGTATCTCTCTTGCATACAGTAAGTGGATATCGTCTTTAAATTTGACATTTAATTGATTTTAATTTGAAAAGATATCTGTCGACAGAAAACTGCGTACTAGTAGGAGAGGGTGGTTTTAGTTGGTAGGCAGGATAAAAGGAATACCTCTGTTTACAGGACCTCCTTCTAAGAGGAAAGGTGATCAGATGTACTCATATATGCTGAATCAAACACACGCCTGCCATCTGTAGAAAGGGGGTAAACCTGGTATGGTTTTTTTAGAAATTTCCACCCTCAGAGGAAAAAGGAAAAAAAAAGTCGAAAACACATAAATCGCGGAAGCAGAGCATCAAGGTTATGTGCGACAAACATGAGCTCGATTGCCGGGCCTTTGAATACTTAGCCGGCGAGGAGAACAAAATTATTTTGCCAATTCGGAGGCTGAGTGACCGAACACACACATATTTCAGATTGGTGTCTTTCTGCCCTAAACAAACATTTTTTTTTGAACTTTGACAAATTCATAATTGTAAAGATCAATTGAAACATTTTCTGTACCATATTTACTTCTGCAGATAAACATTTTTTTTTTGGTTCCTGCAAAAAAGTCAATTTGGAATGTATACCTTTTTCAACTCACCGATTTAATTAAGGTAAATTCAGTCATTTCATAGGGATAAGAGCCATTTTTTGTGCTACCTTTACAGCTAGGTGGCTCATTAGCCAGAGCATCCAAAGTAACGATCAGTTCATAAGCCTCACCATCGCAAGTCACACATTGGGAAGGGGAGGGCCGGCATAGCTTGGGGGGTCAGAAAAGTACCACTTTATATCGAAATGTGATTGGTTTAATCTTCGGACATGTGTGTCCCACTGTTCAATGGTACACACACCATGTTCATAGGGGCTGGGTAGAATGCGTATGTGTGCGATCAGAAAAATTGGTATTTAAGTATGTAAGTGCCCCATATTGCATGGATCATATATTTTGACCTTAAGTTTAATGTCAATTGTTCCAACAGATTATTAAATTCATTTTGTAAAAAGTTTAAATAGTTCTCACCATTCAAATTACAAGGTAACTCACATGGCTCTAAAAAATGATTACCAATGATTTCACGTTTATTTTACGTCATTAGAAGGGTCATTATTTGTGTTAACTTACCTTCGCCTTTCATATTTTTCTACCATAAATTCCCTAATTGAAGTTTCATCTCCTGAACTAATGGGCGGCGTTCCTTCGTATAATCCTAACCATACCTGACGACAGTAATCGTTGCCTCTACTTTTCAATAAGTCTATTTCTTCGTTGGTGAATGTAGCCATGGAAATAGATTTGACTCGGTGTGGAGGTGTGATGCCACGTCTGTAACAAAAAAGCAAACTATGAGTCCCACTTTATCCATAAGGTATATTTTAAACACAGTACAATTTTCTGTATATTTCATTTCCATCATATTGATAGCACATTATGTATGCAAATCCCTAAACTGTTGATACGGGTGACTCAATGAAAACTAGATATTTGTCAACAAGTTTACGGAAGTATATAGGAAAACAATTTTAAATTGAGTATGACCACCAGGTATAAAGGTTGAAGCAGAATAGAATACAATAGTTTTGAGGGTTACTAATCCCTAAATAAAGTTGCCAGTGTCGGAGTGATGGAGATTAACAGATACTAATGAATTTGCAAGAAATGTAAGATGTTTATTTTATTGGTTATATATAAAATAATTTGTGGCCGTAACAGGGGCCGATTTGTAAAAAAATGAATATTATTTTAATCAAATTCCATTTCAGATTCACTGCTTTCTTCACAATCTAAGGAATCTTCAACTCAAATGTTAATTATTACCGGTTCCAGCATTGCATCAGTCATATTATCCAAATTCCACATTTTATTTTCTTCCTTGTGAGCATGACTAACAGCATTTTTCCAATTTTCTGGAGTTACTTTTGATAAGGAATGTTCTAATAATTGTTGTAAGTCTTCTAATTTAAAAGTTTTGTTGTTGTGTCCGACTTCACCCTTTACTTGAGACCGCATATTTTCTATCAGATTCAGATCACAGTGGTATGGGGGTAAACGTAAAATAATTACATCACGGTTTAATGCCATTTCATCAATTATATATTTTTTATAAGCTGCTTTATGTTGCCTTACAATAGGTAATAATTCCTTTTTTGTCGAATTCGCCTTGTACTCAATTGCGTGTTTATCCAACCATTCGATTATCTATCCTTTTTTCCATGCCGTTGTTGGCAATTTTTCTGCTAGTCTTGAATGGTAACTAGCATTATCCATGACTATGACAGAATTTTTTGGAATTAAATCCAACATTTGCTCAAAATATTCTTAAAAAACGTCAGCAGTCATTTCCTCGTGGTAATCTTTGGTTGATTTTGAGGCAAAACTTAATAATCCACCATTGACAAAACCGTATTCGTTTCCAATATGGGTTATTATGAGTCTGCGTCCTTTTCCAACGGGAATATTGTTTATTCGAGTAGATACACCTTCGTTGAATGACTGACGGGAACTTTTTACATTTGTATCAACCCATAGATATGGTACAGTATGAGTAGATAGGGTACACAGCTTTGAGACCAACCCCTAAATTGCAACCCCTAAAATCGTAACCCCCGGTCGTAAGTTCCAAACGGCTTAACGTAGGATGACGTACGAGGGCTCGTTGAAAAGGGGATGAAAAATGGGGTTGAATGCAGTATGTGCCGTGCGCATCGGAGCATGCCAAAAGGTCATTATGGGGTATCTTCGTTTCTATTGGTCCGATCGTGACGTACGAGGGCTCGTTGGAACGGGGAGAAGGCGAAGAGACAAAAAACAAAGATGGCGGCGTTGCCAAATGGGCGTTAAAACGTATCTTAGTTGCTATTGGTTGGATTGTGACGTATGAGGTGTCAAAGCGTTGGATGTCACGTGACATTCGACGCAGGACGTGACATTTGTCACAGAACGTGACATTCGACGCAGGACGTGAAATGTCACGTGAAATGATGTGACATTCGACGTAGGACGTGACATTTGACGCAGGACGTGACATTTATGTGACATTTGACATAGAACGTACAATGACACGTGAATTGACGTGACATTCGACGCAGGACGTGACATTTATGTGACATTCGACGCAGGACATGACATTTATGTGACATTTGACGCAGAACGTGAAATGACGTGACATTCAACGCAGAACGTGAAAATGTTGCGTGAATAACGTGTCATTCGACGCAGGACGTGACATATATGTGACATTTGTCGCAGAACGTGAAATGTAGGAATTACGTGACGTGAGACGTTTTGACGTAACAGTTATGTGTCAGTCAAGACATCGCTTGACATAAAACGTGACATTCAACATAGGACATATTCAGTAGTACTATGAATTCCATCGAGTACATACATAGGGTTATGGAATTTCAACGTAAACTTGATCAGTTAAATAGAGACATTAAATCATATGAGAATATAAAACAAATTAAAAGACAATTAGATAGCCTGCATATTGAGGAAAAAACGTGGAAACCAAAAGAGTTGAATCTACAGCAGCAGCAACAGCAAGACACCTGGATTTACGCCTGCAGAAAACTGCCACCAGCTTCATATCCATTGAGACGTATTCAACCAATACCATGGACGTTAGCAACAACACCAGCGAGCATATGAAAAGTGAAATAGACAATGTCTTTGCAATGTCTTGTGTAATATTAGCATCTGTATTTATTCTAATTTTAAAAATTATTTTCGAAATTGTAAGGAGAAAATTTGAATCTTCTTGTAATATAAGACTCGATCAATAAAGATGTGATAAATAAAAAAGCGTTTAATTTCTAATATATTTATTTATTTATACATAAAATTACAATGGCATTATGTTATTGGCAAACCAGTGACGTAGACGATCCACATTTCTTTCGGTGCATGAAAATAATCCAGAGGCATGACATGGGTTTGCAGTAGGGCCAACGTTTCCAGTAGCATGAGGTGTACCATCAAACTTGCAAACATCAATAATAATGGGAAAAACTCCAAAAACGTGACGTTTCTTATCCAAATATTCTGCTTTTTGTTCTCCTCTAACGTAGATGTAATCTGCTGCATACAACAACTTGGATTCTAGTATTTCATTGATTTTGGACAATTCTACGTGTCCATCAGAGTATCGAATTCCAAGCAGTTTTTTCTCCACGTATGATGCAGTCTTCTTATCCTCACTACTGAGCGCATTAAAAGGTTTCTGAGGCAAGAAGATGTAATGACTTCGTTTAAAACCTATTTCAATGGTAAGTTCTTTGGGAACAAACCATCCATCCACATTGAATCCCTGAATGTCTACGAATGCTACTCTCATGATGACTGCTCGCGTACTACTGGCAATTTATGCATCTAATTTAGACTTTTTACAATTTCAGAGAGAGGGAAGTACTCCATTACACAGTCGTGAATTATAATGCAATAAGCCTTGGTATTTTCGGGAAAACCATTATTCGCTTCAATATCGAGTTTTACGTCAACAGTGGATGCTTTCATGCTTTCTTCTTGCTTCGAACAATCGATGACGAACAATGTGTGTTGTGCGAAACCTGAGAAATCGAGTAGAGGTCGCTTTTGTTGAGAATGTATGTAGCTAGGATAGAATTCGGTATAATTGAAATAGGCCTCATTGTAGTCAGTTTTGCTAAAATCCAACTGCATTCTCTCGTTCGGCCAATATTCTCCATTTAAAGATAATCTGATACTTTGTATGTGGATATTGTCAAATAAGGTGGGATCGGCGTCGCTTTTGTCACGTTTATTGGTTTGAAAGAAAACAATGACATAACGAGGTCTTTCCACTGCATTGCTAGTTTTTACAGCCCAAACTTCACGTCGAGCGCCTTTGGTAAGTGCTGGTAATTCATGCAATTCCCACTTTCTAAAAGGAATAACTATAGGTTGATCTTGTTGAATGGATTTCATAAGTTCCAATTTAATATCATCATTGGGAAATATGTGCTTGACTCTAAGCTCAATATTGGTAATGTTAATCTTAACAGTTGTAACATGACCTGGAGTTTTTTCTTTGACAATTATGCAATCGTTGTCATTTCGAGCTCGAACTAGTCTTATTGTTTGACGACCACACGTAATCATAGGATAATCATTGAAAATGTTGAAAACATGCTTAAGAGGCATCTGTATGTTGAATGAATGATCGGCAGCATGTAGAATTGGATCCTTAGGGTAATTCCACCCCGCCATTGCCATATGACTGGAATCTTCTTGAGTATAACATGTCATAGCACGTACAGCGCTTACGATACCAGGATCCCGCACTGTTTCCATCTCCCTTGCGCTTTCGCTGTACGTACACGAATCGAAAAGAAAAGCACCCACATTATTTGCTAGTTTGACTTCACCATTGCCGTTTATTGCGAGCGATCCTTTAATGCATAACAAGGTTTCACTCATTGCAAAAAACGAGTCAACTTGATTGATGCTAAATTCTACAATGTCATTACAGTTGAATGATTTGATGAATGGTGCATATGTTCGGTATTCGGCCTTTCGAATCGATTCGTCAAACATCGGCTTACGATAAATATCAAATATTGGAGGCATTATGCTGTTTGAACGGGATCGTTTTCCATACATGGTTGTCATTTTTTCAGCTTAAAACCAAGTGATTGTAAAAACAATTTGTTTGCAAACGTAAGATGTTGCCGCTTAGATGAGGACGTACGATGTTGTCGCTCAGACGGCTGCACAACTAATGGTGTACTATGGGCAGTAGATTGTCTTATTACTAATCCCATTTCCCACGTGATCTAAGTTCCAACACCAAGGTGCTCTGTTCTCCTCGAAAGTTTACAGGGCGTCCGTCTTGATCGACAGCCAACACAGTGATATTGGTAATTTCTCGTTGCGGTACAACAGGTAAATACAACAAATTGTGTGGAGTTTCGTCAATTGCGTACCCAGGATTTGATTGTATGACAAATTCGTAGATCGTGTGAGCAGGTCTGTTACCATCGAAGGCTCCGGTACTAATGTTGCATTCAAAGCGTATGCTAGATACTTTAATAATCCTAACAGGTCGATCTGAGGAATGTGTCTGTCCTGGAGTGAGAAGTGCAGGAGAAAATCCCAATACTGTACCAAGACTGTCAGGTTGCGTAAACGAAATCTTATATTTGCTGAAAATTTGACATTGCAACGTGTTGTGGTTAGGTTTCAGACTAAATATCGTTTCAGGCTTAAGCACATTATCAGCACCCAATTTCTTTTGTATATATTCTTCAATATCGGCAATTTCATAACATCCATCGGGGAAATCAAAGTGTTGTAATTGGTTTGTGTTA